GTTCTTGAGAATTACAAAAGGCTTTTAAAAAAAAAACACTGGTGGGAGGAAGGGTTATGCTCGATGCAATTAGCATTCAATTCCACAAGACACTGCTGAGATGAATAGCTGAAAAACATGTTTTTAAGAGATTACATGTCACTTATTCCAAATGCTGTTGTGATTAAAAACTCTGGGGCAGAGCTGTGCATCCAAATATATACCCTGAAAAACATGTGCTCCAACATTCTGCACTCTCATATACCTGCTGTATGTTGCTAAGCATCAGGCAGAGGCATCTCTAACACAAAGTTTGGTCCAGTGGCCAATTAATTTGGAGTGTGTCGTTGTGGGTAGCAGAATAGGAAGGGATAGCAATAATAAGGTAGGAGGCATAACTGACCAATTGGGCTAATCCATCAGAGAGTTCTCCTCTGCAAGCCCCATTGAAATGAACATGCACAGCTTGAATTAATTTCATCAAGGCTTGTGCAAGCAGACTTTCTGGGGAATCCTGTCCTATGCCAAGCAGATGGGACAGCAATGCCACAAGTTGCCTTTTCTGCTGCAGGCACAGAATCACTTTAGGGAAACCTTGGCACCACAAGATGGTTTGCGAAACTATCAAGGCTGGATTTGGTCCCAAGAGGACTCACCCCACATTTTGACGCGAAACCTGAGGGCCAAAGCTCCTTAGGAAGGTCCACCCTGCTGTAGGACAGCCCTGAAATTGAAAGTTATGGCCATCTGTAGCGGTAAGCAAAGTGAGTACTACTGGCTCAAGGTCATCCAGTGAGCTTTGTGGACGGGTAGGGATTTGAACTTAGCCCTCCTAGTCGAACAATTTAAGGCTGTCATTTTCTTGCATCGCAGTCCGTGTCCTGATACAGTTCTCCCTCTTCAGCCTAGCTCCCAACTTCTGTCTATTTATACTTATTTATCCAATGCAGGCAGAAAATGAGAACGAACAGAACTCCGCCAACATATCAGCCATTCTCAAGATATCCAAAGAGGGGGAGAGACAGGGCAGCTCTCACGTAGGCAACAGTCAGGGCCTGAGATACTTCATGGACTCAGGCCCAGTAATTTTCCACTCATATGAGCAGGGCCATCTTTAGCAGATGCGGTGCCAGGGTGCAAATATCTGCTCAGCACCCCAAAATTACCATGGATAGTGGGGGGGGCACAAAGCTGCACACTGCCAGCCATGGGGGGGTACGCAACTCTCCCCCATGCCGCTGCAGGAGAGCAATCCCTGCAGAGGCTTGGGAGGGAAGCTGTGCACCCGCCAGCCATATAGTTGGCGGGGCGCAACTTCCATCCTAAGCCTCTGCAGGGATCGCTCTCCTCCTGCGGAGGCTTGGGAGGCAAGCTGCACGCACGTCAGCCATATGGTTGACGGGGCACAGCTGGCGGGCATGCAGGGAAAGGGGAGGCCACCAGCAAAGCTATGCAGCTCCCCCACTCGCCGGGGCACCCCTCAGAGGCCGGCGCCCTGGCGCAACGAACCACTAAGCCCTATGGAAAAGACGGCTCTGCATATTAGAACACAGAGGACTTAATCTCAGTTCCTTTCCATGGCAATGGCAGGTAGGTGAACAGTGTGGAGTTTTCTAGGGGCACTAGTTCCTGAGGGCTGAGCAGCTTTGGGCCCTCTCAATATCTTTTGGGAGCTGGGGGACCCCAGTGTTGAGGAGGCAGAGAAGGCTGTGCGCAGAGTCGAGTGCAGAGCCGAGTATGATGTGACCTACTGCCAGTGGTGGCACCAGGAAGAGGTGGAGGAGTATGATGTCACAGATGACGTTGGCCCCCAGCCATCACCCTCACAAGCTGGCACCTCTGGAGGTTTCTAATGATCAGGTGATGGGTACAGAGTGTGTGACGGCAGAAAGTATTCTCTGTCATAAGCAAGATAGTCAGAACTGAGGGAAAGTGAGTGGCTGTCTGTTAGAGTTGGGGGGGGGATGAAGTCCTTCATTGCACAAGAGCCAGTATGGTGTAGTGGTTAAGAGTGGTAGACTCGTAATCTGGGGAACCGGGTTCGTATCTCCGCTCCTCCACATGCAGCTGCTGGGTGACCTTGGGCCAGTCACATTTCTTTGAAGTCTCTCAGCCCCACTCACCTCACAGAGTGTTTGTTGTGGGGGAGGAAGGGAAAGGAGAATGTTAGCCGCTTTGAGACTCCTGAAGGGGAGTGATAAAGCGGGATATCAAATCCAAACTCATCTTCTTCATCTAAGTTATTTATGGAGTTTGCAGCCTCCTTGATAGGTCTATCAATGCCTCTTAGAAATGAGAGGGACCAAAGAAAGGAGATACAGGAATCAACACAAAAATGAGATAAAACAAGGGGGTGGGGGTTGCTCAATTTTCTTGGGTTGCTTCCAGATGGAGCAGACATCATTGTGTGATGGCTGCTCTTCATGCATGCCTGCATGCATGCATGCATGCATGCAGGTTTGTTTGTTTGTTTGTTTGTTTGTTTGTTTGTTTGTTTGTTTGTTTGTTGCAATATCTACAAGTCCTTAGTATCAAAATGCCTGTTTGTATATTATTCCCATTTAATATGGATTTAACCATTTCCTGAGGAAATCTGCTGTATAAGAAGCCTGCGCCAATGACCTGTTTGCGATAAAAAGAAAGTTAAGAAGAGTCCAGCGGGATCAGATCAAAGGCCCATCTAGTCCAGTATCCCGTTGCACAGAGTGGCCCACCAGGCCCCTCCGGGAAGCCCCGGGCAGGACATGAGCACCACTCCCCTCTCCTGCTGCTGTGCCCCAGCAACTGGCATTCAGAGGCATCTTAACTAGTTGTCATTCATAGCCTTAGCCTTCATAAATTTCATCTAATCCCCCTTTAAAGCCATCTAAATTGGTGGCTGTCACCACATCTTGTGGAAGCGAATTTCATAGGTCATCCGTGTGCTGTGGCAAAAAAAGTATTACTTCCTTTTCTCTGTCCTGAATCTCTCATCATTCAGCTTCACTGGATTACCCCAGGCCTTAATTTTAAAATGGGGGGGGGGAGAGATTCTGCACCCTCTTTCTCCATAGCTGGATCATTCTGCTCCTGGAATTTCTCAGGCAAGTGGGTGCAGGGAGCATAGGCCAGAGTGTTGCTTTAGGACCAGCCTTTTCAGATCACAGGTACCAAGAGTAAGAAAGGAGCCCTCGTGCATGGGTCCGCAAACTTTGTCAGCAGGGGGCCAGTTCACTGTCCCGCAGACCTTGTGGGGGGTGAACTATATTGGGGGGGGGATGAACAAATTCCTCTGCTCCACAACTAACCCAGAGATGCATTTTAAATAAAAGCACGCATTCTACTCATGTAAAAACATGCTGATTCCCGGATTGTCCGCAGCTGGATTTAGAAGCTGATTGGGCTGGATCCGGCCCCCGGGCCTTAGTTTGTCTACCCATGCCCTAGTGGTCCCCAGAGATCAATGAAGAGCAAGGCAGGATCAGGGCTGCTGGAGTGAAGGTCAAATGCAACAACACATGGTCCTCTGAACCAAAGCAAGCATCCAGACACATTGCCAGGAGGCCCCGGCTTCTGTTTCTAAGTATTTATTTTGAGAGACAACATCCTATTTACCTCTGTTTACATTTCTGCTCATCTGCTTCTCACAAAATAACATTTGCTTTTCTCATTTAAACTAGCTAACTCATTGGCACGGTGCTGAGAGGGTTCCCTTCAACTCAAGTAATGTGAGAACTGGCCTTCAAGCCTTGTTTAGGGAGTATGAAGGTGGTTTCTATTTCCACTTGACATTTCAAGTCCTGGGAATCACACAAAACTTTGCCAGTGCATTTCAATCCATTAGTTTCATGGCCAAGCTCTATGGTCCTTTCAGTGTGTGCGTGCGTGTGCGTGCACAACATGCTGCTCGTCTGAGCTAGCACCATTTTATGCCCTGCTTTTTCATAGGTCTATAGTTTCAAAAGCCAACTGAAGTGCAGAAGAGAACACAATCATTTCCACCGCTACCTTTATGACTTTGTAGTAATCTCAAATCTGGCTAATTGCCCAGGCATGACTCAATGTTAGAGCTATCGCAGCCTGTGAAGCTGATCTCGAAATGGACTGGAGCCACACTTGGAGGTCATCTGTGGTGCCTCAGAACTAGCTTATTTGGGTGGGTCTTGAAGGAGAAATGAGCAGAACAATTTCGTTTTTAGGGACACAGTTGTTTGTTATTTATGAAGCCATTTTAAAACCACCCTTGATCAATCAAGGTGGGGTACAAATAAGGCCAAAATGCTCATGCTACAACCATATAATGTAACAATATGTAATAAGCCATAAAGGATAATGAAAGCATTGTTAAAAGGCAGTAAAAACCACAATACTATGTATTCTTAATTGTGTGAATAAGCTTGACGGAATAGAAAAGTTTTCAGCTTTTCCTCTTCTGAATTTCTCTTGGCAGAATATTCCACAAAATTGGTCTGATGACACTGAAGGCTCCCTTGTTGTTGTCAAATGAGCCTCACAAATTCGGAGAACAACCAGTGGTGCTCTAGCAGATGATCTCAAGCTCAGATAAAAGGGTTCAGACAATCCTGGACCCAAGTTGTTCAGGGCTTTGTAAATTAATACAAGGACCTTGAACTTGGCTTGGTAGTCGATAGGCAGCCAGCGCAGATGCTTTAACAATGGTGTCAGATGTTGTCAGCCAGATGCCCCCATCAGCAATCTGGCTGCGGCATTCTGCACCAGCTGGAGCTTTCAAACCAGGCCCAAGGGCAGCCCAGCATGCAGCACATTACAGTAATCCAGCCTTGAGGTTGCCAACACAGTGGTCAGGCTTAGCCTAATGGTTAATCCAGCCCTGAGCGTATGGAGGAGGAGCAGGGGATTGCAAAAACAGCTGCTGACCTCCACATTATACAACAAGGACTACGGCGAGCAACCCTGCTGCTCACAATGTATAATATTCTTAATATAGTCACTCTCACATGGCGGCTGCCCCATTCAGACTGACAAGAGCAACTGTTGTAGGTGCAGAATTTAGCTCGCTTGCAAGCCAAGGCCTGCGCCCACAAGGAGCAGTTGCTCTTTCATTCAGGGAATGGCATAATGTCGAGCGGAGAACAGCAGATCTTTATTTAAGGCACAGCTCCTTCAGCAACAAACCGCATAGCAGGGAGGCAAAAACCCGCCATCTGTCAGCAGTGACCGGGAGAATAGTTGGAATGCAAAAAAAGGTAAGGTGACAATTTTATTGAACTGAGTTAAGTCAGTGGTGAAATATGCAAGCCTCTGAGTTACACAGAACAACAGATCAAGTGAAATGAAGGCATTCTGGCAATTTGATATTTATTTTCCTTTCTCACCACCACCATCTCCCTTGGAGAGGCAGCTGGAATCTTTTTCGCCAAGCCTGTTAGCTAAGATAGGGTTGCCATACGTCTGGAATTTCCTGAACACAGCAATCGGAAACAGTTTCCGGGCAGAAATCGATGAAATGTCCGGGGAAATCCAAATGTCTGGTAACCCATGTTGGAAGTCTCAATTATGGCAGATTTCCTTAGAAATAGCTCAAAAAGAGATTTTGCCCAAAACAGCTCACAAAAGCTCCAGATTTTCACTTTTTGAAATATGGCCACCCTAGTTAAGAGCATAAGAGCCCTGCAGGATCATACCAGAGGCCTATCTAGTCCAGCATCCTAGTCTCAAACTGGACCTTAGACAAGCCCCTGTCTTCTCAGAGGGGGCTGCCAGGCCTGTCTGTTGCCTCTGCTCAGAGACCAGCAACTTTTGGCCCCTCCTCTCCTTGAACTCTTTCCATTCTGGTTGGTTATTGCAAGAACTCTGTAACTAAGGTCTAGGGCTTGTCGACACTTTGCTGTACCTAGAAAGCACGGGTCTAAGCAGTTTCCCACTCCTTTCCACTCTTTTTTGACAGATCAGAACAAATGACAATCCAGGGAAAACCCAAATTGCCATTTGTTCCGATTGAGCTCTAAAGAGCAATTTTCCCCAAGGGAAAGCAGGAGGACCAGAGGAAGTGCGGGCAAGTCCCTCGTTGTTGTGTTTGCTGTTTCTCTCTCTCCTCCTCCTGCCTAACCTCTTTTATTATGGTGACCACATGTCCATCTTGCCATAAGACAGTCCTCTATTGAAACAGTCCTCTCTCTGAAGGGCCACCTGGTCCAAATCTGAGTTATAGATTTTTTTTTTAAGTCTACAAAGTTTGAAGAGGGGCTTTGAAGTTGTCCATCAAGAGCAGCAGACTGAGCAGGCGTATGCAGTCAACTGCTCTGGTCAGACCTCACCTGGAGTACTGTGTCCAGTTCTGGGCACCACAGTTCAAGAAGGACACTGACAAACTGGAACGTGTCCAGAGGAGGGCAACCAAAATGGCCAAAGGCCTGGAAACGATGCCTTATGAGGAACGGCTAAGGGAGCTGGGCATGTTTAGCCTGGAGAAGAGGAGGTTAAGGGGTGATATGATAGCCATGTACAAATATATAAAAGGATGTCACATAGAGGAGGGAGAAAGGTTGTTTTCTGCTGCTCCAGAGAAGCGGACACGGAGCAATGGATCCAAACTACAAGAAAGAAGATTCCGCCTAAACATTAGGAAGAACTTCCTGACAGTAAGAGCTGTTCGACAGTGGAATTTGCTGCCAAGGAGTGTGGTGGAGTCTCCTTCTTTGGAGGTCTTTAAGCAGAGGCTTGACAACCATATGTCAGGAGTGCTCTGATGGTGTTTCCTGCTTGGCAGGGGGTTGGACTCGATGGCCCTTGTGGTCTATTCCAACTCTATGATTCTATGAACTGGTCACAGTCTTCCCCACAATAGTGAGATGCATAGTGTTTCTATTCAAATTATTACAATTCTTTCTAAACTTGCCATCTGTACATATAAATTTCCAAGTTCCACACCCAGGCTTTCTTTAAATAAGAAACAAAACACAGACATTGAGGAAATAGGGTTTATTCAATTAAAAAACACATCACTTGCCATTCAGTGTATCACATACTCAAGTGTGTAGCAACTCGCAGGGATTAGGGGAAGAGATACTTTTACATACAAGAGATACTTTTACATTTCATTAGCAGGGTCAGCATGGAAGACCTTGAAAATTGACTCCGTGTTCTTCTACATGTCTACTCAGAAGTTAGCCCAGTTGATTTCAATGGGACTTATTCCTAGGTAAGTAGGTATAGAGTTGCAGCTTAATTAAATGGAACTTAGTCTGAGTAGACATGCATGAGATTCCATTAACGGAGCTTCTCTGCCTTTTCAGAACCAATGTACTGATTCCACTGAAAAGTCTCTCCCCCAGGGCTGCATTTTTTTTTATTTTTTGATGATTTGGTCAATCAGTTAAAACCCTTTTGATCAGCTAAAGGGTGCCTGCAATTCTTTGGCCAGATATTTTAAAAATAAAATGCTCAAGTTATTTTTAATACAGTATTACAAACTACAAAATAACACAACCAGCTGGTGCCATAGTGTGTTGTCTCGCAAGCAGGAGAAAATGCTTCTGCTAAGATGGGGACTGTTACAGTACATACATGTGTTATCTAAAAATAAAGTATGTTTATAGCCTCAGAACTCTTGTTTTTATCCATATCCAGGTATACAGTTTACTCATCTGTTAACCAATTGACTAAAATACATATGGATAATCAGCTAAAATGTCTTAAGTGACAGCTTTAACTATTATTCCTCAGTGTTGCTTGCTTTCTAAAGCGCTCATCCACCTAAGGCAGATATGAACGCTTACCTTTGCCTCATATAGCCCCAAGTTACCTGATGGCCATTCTTGGGGATTCAGTAGTGTAGACATGCCAGAGAATTGGTGCTCCAGCATCCCTAATATGGCAACCTTCCCTGAGCACTGTGACATCATATGATATGATGACATCATTAGGACACATGTGAATGGCAAGGATGTGGGCAGGACCAGCAGGATCAAGACCATGCAAGGTAAGTCTTGCAAGGAACATCACACACCCCATTCCTGGTTTACCAGAAACGGGCAAATCTGTGGATTAATATCTGAATATATCCACAATTTTCTGCATCAAATGGTTGCAGAAAAAGAATTGCTGCTTGAAAATGTGAGTTCTCTCTGAAGGCACATGCAGACGGGCCCCAAGATGCTGATCCACCCCACCCACATATTTTTCCCCCAGCCATTTTGCAACTTTCTTAGAACAAGTTTACAATAGGTTGACCCCAGCCCCTGCTCAGTCTAAGAATAATCAGTTAATCAGTTCTAACAGGAATTCCTCTCTACAGGGGCTGTCAGATTTTGACCTAGTGATGTCATCCATTGTTTCGCAACTCCCTTCCCTCTCCCATCTGTTGCCAGATGGAACTGGGATCCTGTTTGGTACAGCAGGCAAGGAAGGGACGAATTCTACCGGGAGCAAATCCTGCTAGTCTTTCTATCTCAAGAGTTATTAAAACAGCAAGTAGTACTGAATCTAAGCAGGAACTGGCAACCCTATCTTCTACCCGCCTTCTGAACAGCCTCACCCAACATTTTTTCACAGCTATTACTAACCACAAGGCAACCTTTCTCTATTATGACATCAGACGGAGGATAATATCTCAGCGGATTTTTAACAAAGGCAACCATCGCTTATCTCTGTTGTATATAATTTTTATTCTACTAAGCCCAAAATTACAATGATTCGTGCTGAAGATTAAAAAAAAGAAGCCTCAGTTGACAGCCCAAGCTACACATTACAGTGACAGACCTTCTGACACCATTCATATATTAATGCAACAGTATGATTTAAAGAACCAATAGTCAGGAGGTGCTGAACTTCCCACCCACTATCTATCTGACCATACCTTTTGCAAAAAAGGATCATTAGAGTTTGGCATCAGGGCCTAGCTGGAGGAGGAAAAGACTCTGGTGGATGGACCACTGGGTAGTAAGATGTTTGGCATGAGATGATTCAGCATTTCATGCCTACATGCCCATTTGGTCTTATAAACTTCACTTCCAACCTTCAACTTTACATGACTTCTTCTCTATAGCGTTTTTGGTGAATGCTGAAGGTACACCTCTTTACCCCGGCTTTTCACATCTGAGATGAGTGCATAGGAGCCAACACCTATGTGCCAAGGTCCTCCCTCCCCAATAAAATATTTGAAGGAATTGCTCCCCCCCAAAAAAGTTGATAGTCATTGTCATTCAAATTATGTGCGTGCTACAACTTGTGATCATGATTGATACAGGGAGGTGCTTACCTACCCCAAACAATATTTTATTCAAGTCGGCACCCCCGAATGCATGTGTTTTCTGGGCCTACACTATTCCTGCACTTATAACCTGTTTTAACTGTTTTTAATTTTTAATTTGAAACTGCTGTAACCCACCCTGAGACCTGCTGGTGAAGGGCAGGCAATAATAATAATAATAATAATAATAATAATAGCAATAATAATATTACGAACAAGAGAGTTTCTTTTAAAGATGTGGGTCTTCTGTCATGGTGTGTAACTTGAGCCTTATATAGTGAGTATATTTTTTTCAAGCTGGTGCCAAACTAATTTTTTGCCATGAAAGGAGAATATTCTTCTGCTAGATTGATTGCACACCCAAAACATGCTGCTTTATTTCTCTTCGTGACAGGGATGAGGAACCTGTGGTCCTCCAGATGTTGTTTGACTCCAGCTCCCTTTGGCCCTCGCCAGTGATGGGAGTTGTGGTCCAGCCACATCTGGAGGGTCACACACAGGCTCCCCATCCTTGCTGAAAGGGAACATTGCCTCCCATGCTCACTATTAGCCCTGGAAGCCATGCTCCTTGTATTTGCTGGCCATGTCGTTGCGGAACAGCTCCAAGGCCTTCCTCATCGCCGCTTGCGAATCGGCCCCAAAGTCTGCAGAATGTTTTTCAGCAATGACGCCAACAATTATTTCGCAAATGAACTGTGCAAAAAGAATGGGAGGGAAAGAGAAATGTAAAGCTGGCAGCTTTCAAAGAAAGTACGCCTGAAATATCAAAGCAGGGAAGGCTATTTTCTACATTTGGGTGGGCTTTTTGGATCTACTTTGGCTTTTTACGAGAACCCCAAGATCTACCAAACAAAACCAAGTACAAAAGGAATGGGAAAGTTCCCTGTCTGAAACTCTGGAGAGCACATGGACCAACATTCTCACTCAGTAGAAATCAGCTTCCTATAACCCAATGTTTGTATATACAGAGAGAGCAGAAAAGAACCTCCCATCTCTCTCCTGCTTTTATCCTGGTCAAGCAAGGGCATTATTCCACTACCCCCCATACAGACATACACGGCTGCCTACCTCAAGATACTTGACCGGGATTTTGTGTGTGTTGGCGTGGGTCTGTGCCAGGGGTGCAAGTTCTGCCTCGTGGTTCCCTTTCTGCTTTAGGATTTTGCCCAAGGCTGTGAGGACAGTCGTTCCATGCTTCTTGAGCTCTTCTGAACTCTTCATGTCATCCACCGTCTTCAGGTTTTTGAACTTGTCAAAGCGCTCCTGGGTCTCTGGGTGCTTCTGAAACATCCTGAAACCATTGAATTGAATAGCCCAGTCAATGTGGAGTACTGGTAAATGGGTGGCAGTGATTAAACTGGCTATCCATCAAAGATGCCACCTGTAAGAGAACCCATAGCTACCTGTGTCATTTATGTTCCCTGATATCAGAGTAACTGGGAAATTATGACAGTGTGAAAGTAACCCCTTCATAGGAAAATGGGAGTTTCAATCTTCAGAATGCCATTCGAATAACATTGCTGGGAATCTCCTGCAATTTAATTGGGCCACATTCCAAGCTTTGTTGGAAGAGAAATGCCCTGTTTCTGCTCCAAAGCCCTTAAAAAAAACCTGAAATCATCTCCCTGTTTAAACAACTATTCATATGCCTTTGAAGACAGCCTAAAAACTGAAGCTAGTGAGGAATGCAGCCACATAGCCATATTAATGGGCACTTCTGCACGATGGCATGCAACACCAGTTTTGCAGGATCTACCTATATGTTACCAGGCAGGCCCAACTCAAGGTCCTTAACAGCCTGGAACTTACACATATTTCTTGCAGTGCTTCTCCCCATATCAACAAGCCAAACCCTGAGAACAAATGGGCAGGGGATGCATACAATCCCACTGGTGACTGTAGGTGTAGGCCATCACACAGGGACCCAGAGCAGGGCCTTTTTCCTAGTTGCACCACAGCTAGGGAACCCTCTGTCTAGAAAACTTGACACAATTGGGATTTTGCCCTATAGCAAATATGCTCTGGTTCCCCCAGGCTTTCAGAGGCCATGTTTGCCTTGTCCGTTTTGGTCTTCTTCTTCATTGGCGATCACTCATAGCCCAGTAAGAATGTCTTATTCCTCTGTTGATTATAATTGTTTTATTGTTGTGGTTTTAAATGGCATTTTAAGATTTGTACTTCTGGTGTTCAGATTAGGCACACAGGAACATTGGAAGCTGCATCATATCGCATCAGGTCCTTGGCCCATCTAATTCAATATCGTCTACACTGACTGGCAGCAGCTCTCCAAGGTTTCAGACATGAGGTTCTCTCAGCTGCCTGGAGATGCCAGGGACCTTCTGCATGCAAAGCAGATGCGCCACCACTGAGCTATAGTCTTTGAATAACACATGTAAACCACTTTGAGGTCACCTTGTATCTGGCTGGCCATGATGAGGAACCAGAATGTCATCTAGATGGACTTTTCGCCTAATCCAGCAGGGCTCTTCTTAAGCTTTTATGTCATTATTGCCTCCAGTGACAATGGAACCAGGATCTTTCCTTTAACCCCCAATTTTTGTCACTCGCCCTGCTTAGCTCCATTTCATTACAGGTATTCAAATCATCCAAAGCATCTTTGCTAATAATAGTGGAACTTCATCCTCAGGAAATTACTTACAGCTACTTTTCTTGGATCCAGGGCTTCCTCCTGTTTTGCTTGCACAAAGCTTGCACAGTGGTTATACTATCCCCAGTTTTTATTGAACATTCATTCTGATTTTTCTATCCTAACGTGTCTGTGGCGTGTTTTCAATTTTTTCTGCTATTCATTCATCCCACATTTTTCAGTGCATTTCCTAACCACAAAAAAATTGTGTTTTCTTTCATTTTTAAAGTGGATATGTTTGTGCTAGGGCCACACAGTCCATTAACTGTGCATATATAAATAAATGTGCAATATGCACTGGAATCCCTCCTGCAAAATAGTAACTGTCTGGAGGCATCCCATATATCTGGACAATTTTCTGTGCCCTTTTCCAAGAACCTCAGTTGGTTTGACATTCAAGAAGTAATAATGCAACTATGGTTCTAATCCTCTTTTATTATGTGTTAATGATTCAGTCAGTAATGTCAATTACAAAAGCAACCTATATCTTATAGCAGTAGAGATCTATTTTAAAAGCTGATAAAAAAAATCGAGGTTGATAGGAATTCAAGCATTCAGATTTATCTGCAGAGTTGTCTTTCTCTCTGTTCCACCCACATAATATCAGAAACTTTGCAACGTTCCTAAGCTGATTCTTAAAAATGTCACTATGCTAACTCCACAAGAAAGCTGCTTCTCAGATTTCGGTCACCGGCTTCTGCTTACCTGATGATAACTTCTTGCCCATGAGCAGGGAGGTCTGGTTCCACTTTCCCCCAGATGTCTACGACCTTCTGCCATTCCTGATCACTGAGCCCCATAATGTCGCCGCTCAGGAAACAATGGAAAGTGAGCAGTTCAGCTAAATAGATACAAGCAGCCTGTGTGTCCTTCCTCAAATGAATTGCAAGTGGAGAGATCTGTGGGCTTAAGAAGCTGGCCTACAGATTGGCACCTGTCATTTGACAGCTCAGGTCTAGGTCACTCTGGTCAATCCCTCCCTCCCTCTCTCTCTCTTTTGAGTCAGGTGCTATTGTGGCAAGCCCAGAAGATGAAATAATTGCTGTGTCTGGTACTGGGCTGGCATAGATCCCATGCCCAACAGAAAGGGCATCGCCAAGGTTCACTGCCAAGAACTTGTTACTCAGTTTCCATCCTGAGAACACAGGAGATACCACGATTTTGAATCGCATATTTGAGGACCAAACAACAGATTCCACAGTGGCACTCGATAGTGTGCATTTAAATGGTTCCCTCCCATCCCACCGTGCCTTTTCCCATACCTAAATCAGACCCTAAGTTGCTACTAGTGTTATTGTGGCGTGTGGAGCATGCAGATACTTCACACTCACAAACACACACAGAAGGGGCTAATAGCAACATTTGATGAGGAAAATTGTGCATGAAGAAATGGGTAAATACCCATTACGTCAGAGCCTTTGCTCGGAGAAAAGCCAGAGATTTGCAGCTACTTTTAATTAAAAATAAAAACTTCAATCACTGGTCCCCTGCCCTCAGAACTACAGTTTCAAGAGTGCCAAGATTGCCCATGTTCTTCAGCAGGCACCCACTTGTCCTTGAGTGCTCTCTCAACAAGGACTGATAGAGTGAGAGTTCCCATCCTGTGTATTTTTGCCAACTGTGCGTCACTGGCCATATTCACACCATACATTTAAAGCACTATGATGCCGTTTTAAGCAGTCGTGGCTTCCCCCAAAGAATTCTGGGAGCTGTGATTTGTTAAGGCTGCTGAGAATTGTTAGGAGACCCCAATTCCCCTCACGGAGCTACAAATACCAGGAGCGGTTTAATAATCAATCCCTTTTTCCAGGGAGCTCTGGGGCCTGTAGCTTTGTGAGAGGACATGGGGAAACTCTCAGCACCCTTAACAAACTACAGCTCCCAGAATCCTTTGGGGGAAGGCCATGACTGTTTAAAGTGGTATCGTAGTGTTTTAAATGTATGGTGTGAATGTGGAAAACCGTCAGGGGCGTAAGACAACGGAAGATCAACCTTGTGTACTTGGTAGGCCTAGATCTGCATTCCCGCTCCTGAACCAACACCACAGTTGGCCTCTTGTTTTCTCAGAGGCCAGTTGCCTGGGTGCCTCTGTCATGATTAGCAAGCCTCAGTAGCACATTCTGCAGTGACTGAGCAACTGCAAAACATTTCCTCTTCCTTTGAAAGGGGTGGGGACACCAGTATTAAATATATTTAAATCAAGCATAGGCAACTCGGCCCTTCAGATGTTTTGGGACTACAACTCCCATCATCCCTAGCTAACAGGACCAGTGGTCAGGGATTATGGGAATTGTAGTCTCAAAACATCTGGAGGGCCGAGTTTGCCTATGCCTGATTTAAACCATAGAATTGTAGAGTTGGAAGGGTCCGACCCCCTGCAATGCAGGAATCACAGCTAAAGAATCCCTGATAGATCCAATGACTGAAAATGTAGTGAATCTATTAGATTGTTCTTGCTATGAAAATCAGATTCAGAACCGTAGAAAGGATTTTAACTGCTGCATATATCATATGTGAATATAGAAACTTAAAACCATATTTCTCTTCTTTGTTTGTCCATGTAACTTAGTTATCTGAAAATAAAGTTTGTAGTTAAAGGATGCAAGGGAAGAAAAGTCCCATTAGCCAGGTGGAAATCCTGGATAGGACAGCTTTGTAGCACTACATTGAATGCATGCCTAGGGAAAACCTGCATATTAACAAGAGTTTTGAAGTAACATATGGTGGCTGGGAAGGGCAGGTCCTGTGGGTACATTCAGAACTTAATGGCAGATGGCTGCATGGCAGAGGAGATATGATCATACTAAGAACATGAGACGAGCTCTGCTTGATCACAGCAAAGGGTCTCTAGTTCCATTTATGGTGGCCAACCAGGTGCCCATGGGAAGTCCACAAGCAGGACGTGAGGGCAATAGCCCCGAGGGGGACATAAGCTCCAATAAAACAGACACACACCCTGATCATTGGCCACACTGCTTGGGGCTGATGGGAGTTGGGGGCCAACAACATGCAGAAGGGTCATATTATGTTGGACCCAACACAGGGTCCTTGATAACATTTTGTGACCCATGTGGGGTGGGGGATAACCAAACGTCAGGGTCAGGAATAAATACTGGTGGCAAGGAAGTTACGTTTTCTTTGGATTTTTGTTCCAGATTTGGCCTGATCTAGATCTACTTTAGATCTACTGATCTAGATCTAGATTACCCATGAAATTGCAGTAGAAATTATTAGATCGGGGATAAGAAACACATGCTTTCCATACATTGTTGGATTCCAGCCACCATCAACTCTAGCCCAGGCTTCCTCAACCTCGGCCCTCCAGATGTTTTTGGCCTACAACTCCCATGATCCCTAGCTAGCAGAACCAGTGGTCAGGGATGATGGGAATTGTCTCAAAACATCTGGAGGGCAGAGGTTGAGGATGCCTGCTCTAGCCCATGATCTATGGTCAGGGGCAATGGGATCTGGAGTCTGGAGGGCCACACATTCCCTGTTGCTACTTTACAGGTACCCTAAAAACAGTCTTGAAGCTGAATATCCACAGGCTATTTTCTTATTGCTGCTAATCCCAGTCTTGCATCTGTTGTACATGATCTACTGCCATCTGGTGGCCCTAAGGGAGAGCTGCAGCAAGTGCAGACTCATTTTCGTTCAATGCAAAATTCAGCCTAAAATAATTTATGACGCCAGTGAGCTATGCAAAAAGAATGTTTATGGCTGCACCCTGTGGTGTGAGGAGAGACTGCAGAGTTGGCATAACTGGAAGCAATACAGTCGGTCTATATCCACCTCTATGAACCAGGAGGATCTAAAGTGCAGAGTAACTATCCAGATTGATGGAAAGTCAGCGAGGGAAGGCAGCAGGTGGGCTAATTAACATCTGATTAACAAGATGCGAATTGCTATTAGCGTTAACATTAATTATCCCTGAGCAAATGTCTACATGTCAAATGAGACTGGGTAGCACAGGCCTTTGAGGCAGATTTGTATGCAATAGAAGCTTAAATGTGAAAAGCCCCCTAATATTTCTACCTGGGAGGAATGGCAGGAAAATGGTAGCTATTTTTAGTAGTCCATTATGGCCAGCATAAACTCTTCTAACCATACTGCATCTAGGTAATCTGTTGAGGAACCACAAGCCTTCTCGCTTTCTATTTCTACCACCACCACCCCTCTCATTGCTCTCTCTCCCCCCTCCCTCTCCACCCCCCCCATTGACATTTTCTCTCCCTCCCACCCCACAATCTGAAGCCAATCATTCAGGGTTAAAATGCTCCCCATCCAGTACCTATGCACACACCTCCTCCCTCCCACAAGCCCAGACCAACTCTCCAGGTCTTTTGTGTTAGAATTCCTGCTCCATGATTGCAGTCATGGGATTTTTGTCTATCACATGACGGTGTATATTTTGACTCCACAAAGTGGGAAGTGACGAAGACAGGATGTTTGCGTTACTGTGTTCCGTGAAGTGGGACTATTTTCCTTTGTTCTTTCTCTTTGCTGTCTGATGCTAGAGAGAGAGGGAGCCATGTTGCAGTGCTCCATATGCGTTTATATGTAAATAAAATAGATTAGCCAAAATGTTGAGTTGCTGAGATCTGTTACGCAACTGCGAAAACTCTGCAGATCCTTAAGTGTGCCGATGTCTGTTGGCATCAGTTGCTGTGCTGTTCGGGCAGAAGAAAGCTTTTGAAGCTCCCGAACGAATGACCAGGAGGGAGAGAACATGCCAGTCGGGCATGTGTCTCTGCCAGGGTCCTACTCGAGTGTAGAACAAGCTCCTGACATTTTGATCCTTCCACATGTTCTTTGTCAGAACATGAGAAGAGCCTGCTGGATCAGGCCAGTGGCCCATCTGGTCCAGTGTCCTGGTCTCACAGTAGCCAACCTGATGCCTGTGTGAAGCCATCAAGCATGACCCAAGCACAAGAGTCCTCTTCCCCCTCTTGTGGTTCCCAGCAACTGCTACTAAGAAGCATTCATGCCTCCTTTATATCCCTCTCATTTCTCTTGCGTTGGTTGGGGAGGGGAGAGAGAAGCACGCACACACACACACACAAACCTGAGCATCGTGTGGTGCTCTCCAGCTTAAAAACACAGCAAGCTACTGGAGGAGGCACAGATTGCTCTGCCCTCCCCTTGGCAGCTCCCCTGCTGGCTGCAAAGAAAGAAATGCCCCTCACATGGCAACCAGCATGGAAACACAGCAGGGCTACCAGAGCAAAGGCTGATTTCTCTGTCCCTCCTCCTTTTTGCAGCTCACTCAGAGGGGGCACGGAGGCACGTAATAATAATAATAATAATAATAATAATAATAATAATAATAATTCTTTATTTATACCCCGCCCATCTGGCTGGGTTTCCCCAGCCACTCTGGGCAGCTTCCAACAAAATATTAAAATACAGTAATGCATCAAACATTAAAAGCTTCCATAAACCGGGCTGCCTTCAGATGTCTTCTAAAAGTCTGGTAGTTGTTGTTCTCTTTGACATCTGGTGGGAGGGCGTTCAACAGGGGGGGCACCACTACCGAGAAGGCCCTCTGCCTGGTTCCCTGTAGCTTAGCTTCTCGCAGTGAGGGAACTGCCAGAAGGTCCTTCGCGCTGGACCTCAGGGTCCAGGCAAAACGATGGGGGTGGAGACGCTCCTTCAGATATACCTTTCATGATTGTGGCATCAGTTGGCCTTCTCCTAAGGCAGGACTGGACAACCTGCTTCTGGCCTGATTTTATGCAACCTTCAGACTCGTTTTATACAGCGCGAGGGGGACATGGAAGCCTGGAGGGGTGGGAGGAGGGAAGTGGGGGAATTGGGAAGATGCAAAATGTATGGCGGAATGGAAAGAGGAGGGCAGAATAGCCATCTGCAATTGATCATTTCAGGCCTCTGGTAAAAGATATCCCTCCCCTAGCAAGGGGGAGGGGGAGAAAAGGT